AGAGTGAGTGTGAATGTGTGAGTGTGAATGAATGTGCGAGTGTGAGTATGTGTGTGAGTGTTGTTGCGAGTGCTTGTTTGAATAAAAGGCATCTAGAGGCTGTTGTTACGCACTTTAAATCAGAGCAACTTGCTTCTAGCTACCACCTAAACATACTCCCAATACGACATACATACTTATATGCACATACATATATGTTACATACATTCATGCACGCATGTTAATCAAATACACATTGTTTTATCACAAGCGGAAATGTTGGCTAAACAGAATTGTGCCCAGCTCAGCCACAAACAGGTGCATTCACATTCACATTCACCAATGTTGACAATGGAATTACACGCACGTCATATATAAATATATGTAAGTAGTCGAGATCAAATATTTGTTATGCTAATCGTTGTAGGGTCTGTCACAACGGTAAAGTAGCCTAAGGCAACAGTTAGAGCATCTAGTTAAGCCACAAAGACCTTGTCTTAAACACAATGAATACAACAATATTCACGTTTCCTGAAAGCAAATCTTCAGCTTGTACAGAATTGTAGCTAAAAGTTATGTCATATACATTAATTGAGCGAAATTCGGGCGCATTTGTATTTCGCAAGAATGTTGAGGTTATAGTTCAGAATACAATATTTAATGGTTCGCTTATAGATTGGTTAAATGTATAGAAAACAAGAAAAAGAACAGCTATCTTCGGCTGCCGAAGTTTAAACACCCTACCAAACATACGATTTCCGACCTATTGTTCCCATAGGAGCTACATGATATAGTAACCCGATACCAATCTATAGTTCCTATATCATATAGTGATAGCTCGTAATAGCTGAGATTGATTAGGGATATCTTCCAGTTCTGTGATAAATTAATCCTATCCGACCTTATCTAAATCATATTTATATAGGCCTAAATCTGACAGACTAATTTTCAGAAAAAAGACAGAGAGACGGAGATAGCTTCATAAAGAACTCGGCTGTTGATACAGATCAAAAACATATATACTTTATATGGTCGGGATATCTTCTTTTCCGTTAAAAAATGTTAAACCCATCACAGAAATATATATATTATTTATAGGAACATTTAAGAAATATATTAAAGAATATATATCACATACATACCCACATTGGAAATTTAAATGGTTCAATAACTTGTGCTGATTCCTGGCACTATATATGAATAGTTTTAGGCCTTAATGAGTGTTGAATGAACAATTCAAAATTTTAATTAGGAACAGGCATAAATTAGAAATAATTTATACAAGCGAGTCATTCAGAAAATGAATATTACTATTTTTATATTTTGTCGTTGTGGGTAATTAAATTAAAAGCTGCGCATAGAAATTACCATTAAGTTCAATTAAAATTGTTCGAGCAATTGAATTGTGAGCTGCATTCCATTATTCACAAAATCATTAATTTCGGGCGATCCATAAATTCTTCCTAACTGCTTACTTTTGTTCAAAACAAAGAAAATCTTCAAAAGTAACTTGATATTTAGCTGAATTCGTCTAAGTAAGCTACACAAATTGAATATTTTCATTAGATTTCAGCATTAATTTATAGTTTTCCTTAATTGATTTGATATATTCTTTATTGCGGGCAATTGAAAATTAGAAAAATGTAGCCTTTCCACACAGCTACGAGCCGAGCTTCTGCATTGTGGGTCATTAATTGCGGCGCGAAGTCATAGATTTTAAATGGATAATCGTCTTTATTGACCCGCTTCTTTGACTTCTGTGTAATATATTAAAGGCAATTCTCGCATAGTCTGCTCACAAAGTGTGGCCTGTGGTTGTGAAATAATTCCAGTTTTATTACAGAGATTGAAAGTGAATTCGTAGCGTATCGTATCGTATCGTATTGTTTGAAGACGTTGTGGCTCTTTTAATTTTTAGTCTGACAACGACAGACCTCAGCTGTATCGTTTCTCGCAGGACATAGCGCGTCTGCTACTAGCATGACATTTCCCTTGATTTGCTCCTGCATGCATTCAAAGTGACGTCTACGCTGGCCAATGGAACTCCCATCCGGACATTGGCAATTGCTGAAGTTGCTCGGCCGCCAAAAGGCCGGACAGAGGCCACGATTGCAATTGTAAATGTCATCATTGAACGTTGGTTTCTCTATGAAGGCACACCGTCGCGGCGAGTAATATCTTATCAAGGATTCACGCACACATACACAGCGGAAAATGGGCGTTTGGGTGCCGGGACCACAAGACCGATTACATTCACCGAAACCCAATAATTTCCAACTAAATCGCCGGCGTTTGCGGTCCTTAATTCGCTGTGCATAGCTATTGTCTGTATCATTAATGAGCTTACCCGACTCATCCCAGATAGCTTGCAGTTCCTCTTCTTCGATTACGGGCGGAGAGGAAATGGGTATGGTATAGTTATATTGAATATCATATATTGCGCTCTGGTTGTCGGCTAAGAAATGCTGCGTAAATAAAATTTTATATTAAGTTAAGGGTTTCTCTAAAGTCTTATATATTAAGACTTACCATCAAGATCACAGCCTTGGGAAACGGTCCCCTTGAAGTAAGCAAACCTTTTGGATGGTTATATTCGTAAGAATTATCATTAAAATCGAATATCTTCGAGCGATCTCTATTTATGAGAAGGACTTCATCGGGACTTTTCAAAGCTGCAAATCACAATTGCAATAAATCAAAACACTCTGAGTTGATATATTCGAACTTACCCAATGAATCTTTGCCTTGCACATTAAGCCTAATCGACAGATTCATAGCCCCAATTGGCAGTGTGGTGATGTAGTTGTAGGCCTTTGTGGGATTTGTCTTGTTAAATACTTCAGTCACATGTTTGCACAATACCGAACCACACTTCACTTGACTATCGCGAGTTGTGACAGGACGTATCAAGCCGCTGCTATGTACAGCCTGAAATTAAAGAAAGATAAAAACAAGAACATGAATACTTTCTGATGTTTGTCGGAGCTTTACAATTTGGATATATTGCTGAGAAATGTTGCAAATATCGGCGAGTGCTTTGATCTTGTGAGTAGCGTATCTCCGGCAGCAGTGAGTGGCTCAATATTTCACACTCATTGCCGGAATTACTCTAATCTAATGCACCTAAGAGCCACTTGAATGTTTTGACACAGTTTTCAGTTATATTTCGAGAGTGGGCAGAGAGCATGGAGAGTCGTAAGCGTGAACCATTAAAACAATGCAAAGGCTTTGTATCTGGGCTAATTACATGTGTATGTAAGTATTTGTAATTATCAGGCGATAATGGGGTCATGTCAACAGAAGGCCCATGGGCGCATCGCACCATTATCTATACATTTTCTTTTACCAAGCCACACTGCTGCTCAATGCGTATACAAAAACTAATTAAATTATAAATTGGAAAGACCCGAAAGCCAACTGAATATTGAAATCATTGGCAAACGATATTAATTAAGATTTATTGCATTTGGCATCTATTCAAGAACCACATTGGACTGTGTGTGGCCACGCAGAAAGCGGTTTTACGGACTGTATTACAATGGGGAGTACCTTCATAGCGACATATGCACACACATATGTATGTCAGTATGTGCTAAGCGCTTGGGCAATTTGCATGCTTTTGGAGAAAATTGGCTTTAGACAATTTAACCTGGCCATAAACAGAATTGAAATGCATTCAACATTGAATTGTGGTTGCCCTTGCTGAATGCCATCATTAAAAGCCAAATAGGTAACCAACTGCACAAATATTTAAATGCTCTACAGCGTATTGGGTCTTCTACACATGTGTATGGTACATAGCACAGACTATTAATTCCTCTCTCAGATTAGCGTTGAAGTTTCTAGTTTCGTTTTCTAGGGAACCATGTAAATAACATTTTCCTTAGTTTAATATTCACCAGATGACATCACTCTCAAGCTCATAAACTTTCCGCATAACGAGTTCAAATGAAATTTTATTGAGATGTCTATTCGACAGCGAAAAGAATTCAATTTGCAAATGGTATAAATGTACGCAATTGAAATCCCAACGCAGACCGGAAGAGACAAAATTATTATTTGCAGATGTTATATAAAAGAAAATAACAAGAAAGCGTTTCTTCGAATATTAAATACCCTTCTATCTATCACTAATTTTAGAACAAGTTTTTATGGATTTACATATAGCAGAACCGAAAAGGATTCTGAAGAATAAAATACTCTAACTGCTACTAACATCCTTTAAAGCGAACTTACCCGACAAATTCCCTCCACACATACGGCCTGGCGTCTGTAAAAGTGGGTATAGTAAACGGCCGGACGATTGCAGGGTGTACCGTCGGTGACAGATTGATTCATACTAATGACTAAATCAGAGTTAACCGCGCGGCAGAATAACATGCACTCGTCATGTTCTTTCTCATATCCGACCCAATTATAGAACGTCTCACGATATGGCACGCTGTTAAATCTTTCGCATTGTTCGTCGCGCAGTCGTTGCTTGCCAGGCTTGCAGCGCTCCTCCTTACACTGACGATACCGCTTCAATACTCCAAAGCAACCAGTTTTTCCACTGCCAGGATAGAATCGCCTTTCCACGGTGCTCTCCAGTGTCGAGTTTTTGATGCTGTGTTATATATAGCATATTAAATAAGAAATTATTTTGATATATGCCCAAAAAATGTATTTTTCTCCAAAGCACTTACCGCTCTATGCATTTGCGTTGCTTGATTTGCACACAAGAGTTTGAACATTTGCTCCACTTCTCCCAGCGATCCCATGCGTAAAATGTGCCCACTCTTTCGAGTGTGCTCTGATTGCGCTGTCGTGTTTGCTTGCTAACTTCGTTCTCATCCACATAGTCAATATAATCATCGTCAATGTCCTCAATTAGATCAGATTTGCCTAATAAATTCGTTATGTTAGCAAGATCCATTTGGGTTTTCTCTGCGGATGCATTGCACTGCAGGTTATCCAAATATAATAGCATGACCAAACTTAAAGCCAAGCTAAAACAAAAGCAACTAAATTAGGTACTATAATTTAAAATAGTTTACAACAATTTATTGAAATAATTTGTTCAAAATACATAATTATTCATTCCCGTCTATTGTAGGGTTATATTAATTGTCTTATTAATCACGAAATTCGCTCAAGGAGGGAGGTTAATTGCTGACAGAGATTAAAATATTGATGCTGTGACAAAAATTTTTCAACTGACTGCAGATTACTAAAACCATAAGTTCAAATATGAACATAAATTTTCAACCGAACTGTATTTATGCCTATTTTAATCATATATGTGTGTGTGTTAATAATTTAAATAAGCTAATCCACATGTAATATAATTTGAACTCTGGTTATCGGCGAACTCATTTGCAAGACAATAAATAAATACATTTACTGACCTTATCAACTGCATTTCGTTCTCTATTATTTAAATTTTATATAAATGAATATTTGAATCTGGCATTCCGCGTAAACTGCGTGTGCCATTAAAAAAGCCTACAGCACAACTAAGAACATTCCGAAATATTTGAAAATATTCTGTACTAAAAACTAAAATCTACATAAACAGTGCATCTCAGCTACGAAAATGGACCGTGCTGTATTTCTCTTCGCTTCGCATTGCTCTTGCGAGACGTGTTCAATAAGTAATGAGAATAGCCTAAAGAACACGCGTTCTCAGGGGAGCGTGGTACTAACTTAACATTAGAACTCAACTATTTTATGCGTGCTCTACTTATACTAAAAATACTTGTGATGCTTTTAGTTGCTCAATTTTCATCGGTTTCTGAGCGTTTTAAGAGTGGTTCCGTGATATTGTAGTATTTAGCATATTTCTGCAAATCAATGAATAAAAATACATACAAATAGTTTATTTAAATCTTACTTAATTAATCAGTGCACTAGCACTGGGTACTAGGTACTAACCTCGCACAGTTCAACATCTAAACAACAAATCGCCTGGCAGGACTCATTCGTAGCGCTTTCTTTAGAGTTGCTATTGATTCTTACTTGCGGCAAGCCATCTGCTCCATTTTCCAGTGAAATTAGATTTTCTTTGACTAGAAACGATATAATCAATGCATTCTGCACACTGTCCATAAAGTTATGGGGATTGCAGATTAGTTTAAAATATGGAATAGGCTCATTGTTGCCCGCTCTGTAAATATTTTTAATCTGTTTCATAATATGATTGACAGCCGTGGAGCCTTCGCCTTTCCGTTCTAGCTTGTCGCTTTGTTTGGGACGTTTTTCGACCGCCTATAAAGCGAAGAAGTCTGTTCTAATACATATGTATATATATATATAAAGATCGTGTCGTTTAGCAGAAACTTACATCTGTGTTGGTTTTGCGCGGTGCACGTTGTTTTGGAATGTGCTTTTTAGGTTCTACATTTATAAAGGGTAGCATCGAGGCGTTTGTAAAGTATGGTACTCCATGCTGGCAAGCGAGGCTGCACAGTGCATTCCAGTCTTCAGAATTATCTTTAAAAACAATGTTGTTCTTTATTAGGCGTAAGCGGGCCACTGTTTCGTGTCCACAATGGGCACAACATATAGTATGTGCCCATCTCTTGTTATTTTCGGAGCCCGGTCACACTGCATTTGGGAATAATGCAAGGCTCCAATTTATACTTACAATTGCCGTACAAAACATTCGGTCTGTGAAATTCGAATTATATTGTATGGCCTTTCCAACCACTTCGTGATTACGTCTTAGAAGTTCAGTGTCCAGTACAAGTTCTGTAGAGTTTGTTTTGCGATCCTCATAGCCTTTGACAATATCGTTAGCCTTGCTTAAAATATCATAAATGGCCGACATGGACTCGCCAAATGAGCGGGATTCAATCTGTTGCTCTGCAAAAAAAAATTGCGCCTTTAAAAAGAGCATTGCCAAATTTACATACACTTACCAATCTTAATGTTTTTTTCAATTAAATCTTGTAACTGAATTATACGCTCGTTCTCCTCAGCTTCGTCATCCCGTTGAGTCGTTTGCATATTTTCCGTAGAATCCATTACGTTTTTTAAAAAAATATTTTATATGAAGAACCAAATGCTGCTAATATAAAATATCTTATCGATGATTTACCAAATGATAAGTGCTCGATATTTCAATCGAAAACAGTCAATTTAATTATATCGATATTTACGACAATTTAAATGACCCAATTAGATTATAATTATATTTGGCTTTACAATTATGATATCCTTTCTAGTGATATAAGTGAATATAATATTGGTGTCTATATATATTGAATAATATGCTCACTAAGGCGAATGCTCTTAACAGATAAAGGCAGCCGAAACATAAAGTACCATGCGCAAATAAGAATCGAATGAGTCGCAATTTTAATCATTTTAAACATTACATTATATTACTTTCTAAGCTTGTTGCCCTGCATGGGTGGACGATTTCCTTGCCCTGAATTACCAGCACGCATACCGCCATTCCCCAGCCCTCCACCAGTGGGCCCACTGCGAATACCGAAACTATTTCGGTTCCCGCTTCGAGGTGCACGTTGGTTTTGGTTCTGTGAGGAATTGCCGCCACGATTCTTGTTCATCTCGGCGCGATTTCGCGATTTAGCTTGTGCATCCTCCTTTACCATGTCAATGACTTCATCTGGAATACGTAAATACTTAATTGTACTTCCACGTATATAGCATTCTGGCATGCGCCAAAACCGGTCTCCATCCTAAAAAGAAATATTTTGTTTAAGATACACACTAGGCTCAAGAAAGTATGTTTTACTAATAAGATATTGATTCTTTGCCGGTTAGCCGGTGCTCCCGGTGTGGAGTCTACATACCTTTGAAGTACAAATTACATCGCGTAAGTTAATATTCATCCAGGAGTCGCAACTAACTAAGTGTCCATTGTAGGTTTCTCCATTTTTTAACTCCACCAGCTGTCAAAACAAATTCATTTAGATACAACCATCAAACAAATCTAAAAGGTGCCCTTAAATATAAACACCGGCGTACTTACCATGGGATGACTTTGGGCTGTTTTTAAGAGTGATAACGGCAGCTGGAATTACAAATATCTTTGTTTTAATACCATTCACTTATTTATTAACCAAGAAAAATAGCATTACTTACCATTTTTATATTATTTTTATAAAATAAGCAATGAGTATCTCAGAGATGATAGTTTTCAGGATATCGATATCAATCGCATATTCGAACGAACTTTATGAACCACAATTAGAGACTTGGTTCGATCGAACTTGTTCGCACCGATTCGATGCAACTCTGAAGAAATAACAAATATGTTTTTACAATAAGTTGCTGGCTGAATAACGCAACTGATATATAAACAGATTAAAACTACATATTTGATTGAACCATGGCATCGAAAAGGAAACAACATTTTGGGCTACCTGATAGTGAAGCGTTTAAAAAAAAACACACATTGGACTCAGATGAAGAGGACTCTGACGACTACGAACGGTGAGTTAAGCGTGGATATTCCAAAATAAACAAAAGAACACAAGATATTGTTTATATTTTAGAGACAACCTTAATGATAGCGATATTGAAGGTGGAGAGGAAGGCGTGGGGAAAGTAGAAGACGATGTCAAGATAACTCCGTTTAATATGCGTGAAGAACTTGAAGAGGGTCATTTTGATAAGGAGGGTCACTATCATTGGAACAAAGAGTCCGAGATTAAGGATAACTGGTTGGATAACATTGACTGGGTTAAGGTAAACACCTGTTTGTATTATGGTAACGCACTTGTATTAATCATTTACTAATTAATGCGATAGGTAGAGAAAGACAAGAACTACTTTGATCCAAACAATGGCGAAGAAAATTCTGCAGATGGCAGCTTACCTGTAAATCCATTTAATCTGTCAATGGCATTTGGAAAAATGCTTGAGTACATGAAACCGGGCGAGAGCGTACAGATGGCTTTGCAAAGATTGGGCCGTAAGCGTCCCAAGTTGTCGACTCTTGAGAAGCTGAGGCAAAAGAAAGCCGGCATAGAGAGCAATGAATCGCAACAAATTTCGAAGCTAACCGAACTGGCGAATGAAATTCTTTCAAATACTGGAAATATGGATATATATCAAGAAACGTACGAAAAGATAAAGCATAAGCTTGAAGACTTGCCAAGCACAAGTAAGCCAGCCGGGGAATCTTTCGATATGTATGCGGATGATTTCGTGGAAAAAGAGTCCAAGCTTTTAAAAGATTCACAGAAAACAAGTGAGCCAAATACAAATGAAATAAATTGGGAGTTTAAATGGAAGCAGACTGATGAGGACATTCAGGGCCCATATAGTACAGAGAAAATGTTTAATTGGTCACAAGGGGACTATTTTAAGAATGGCGTGTATGTACGCAAAGTTGGTGAAAATTCAAATTTTTATTCAAGCAATAGAATAGACTTCGATTTGTATTTATAAGCAAAATAATTGTAAATGCATACAGATGTGTTTTAATTATTTAAGTCAGTTGTGTTATTGACTTTTATAGAAAATGAATAATTAATAAAAGTAATTTTGCAAAAGCTAACCGATTGCTTGTGGTTTTTAGTAAATATTAAAATAAAAAAAAAACTACTTTGTTTAAAAAAAATTTCAAGGAAAGTTCCATATGATATTAGTACTGAGCATATATTTGCTATGGTTTTTAATTAAATGAATATCAATTTATGAAAAGCCGGCCGATAATTGTGGTGGTTGGTCGATAGTTAGATATCTGATAGTCAGTTATCAACATCTCTGTTGCTAATAACAACACACTCTTGTTTACAAATTTATTGACATAAGAAAATTAGTATACTTTTGTACTTGTGTTCGTAATCCCACAAATTCCGGCTTCGCAAAATTTATCGGCCAGCGCCCACTGGCCAAATAAAAAATTGCAAAAGTTCGAGTAACCACTTACGACAGTCAACTAATTGCGCGAAATGTTCAAAAACACGTTTCAGTCCGGATTCTTGTCAATACTTTACAGCATTGGCTCGAAGCCATTGCAGCTTTGGGACAAGAAAGTACGAAACGGCCATATTAAACGCATTACTGATAATGACATACAGAGTCTGGTTCTCGAAATAGTTGGAACCAATGTGAGCACTACGTTTATAACTTGTCCGGCAGATCCAAAGAAGACGCTGGGCATCAAGTTACCGTTTCTGGTAATGATCATCAAGAACATGAAAAAATACTTTACATTCGAAGTACAGGTATGTGGTATATGCAAAAATGCAGCTTGAATGTGCTTATTGGGAAGAATAAACTAATCTCTATTGTATATATGTATAAACAGGTTCTTGATGATAAAAATGTGCGACGCCGGTTTCGCGCTAGCAATTACCAATCTACAACTCGGGTGAAGCCGTTTATATGCACAATGCCTATGCGCTTGGATGAGGGTTGGAATCAGATACAATTCAATTTGTCAGACTTTACACGTCGCGCCTACGGCACCAACTATGTTGAAACACTGCGGGTGCAGATTCATGCTAACTGTCGAATACGTCGCGTATATTTCTCGGATCGGCTTTATTCAGAGGACGAACTGCCTCCGGAATTTAAATTATTTTTGCCGATACAAAAGCCAGTTCAAAAGACAACTGCCATTTGCAGTTAACCATTTAGTCGCCGATCTAATGAAATACATGCAAATTTATTCAACTATAGTACATAGCCGCCAACCAAGAGTCAGCGAAATATTCAACTTTAAACAATCACTTTGAAACAAAAATTTTCATGCAAGCTGCCGGCATACGTGTTTATTAAGAATTCTATGTCAATAATGCGCTTACTACACACTTTACAATAAAAATTCACTATTTATGTAAACGTTGATCCTTTAGCCGGCCATTGTCGGCATTTGTTAGCACTTCAACGCCAGTCTCTGTGATCAATATCGTATGCTCAAACTGTGCGCTACGCGAATTGTCTAAACTAATTGCCGTCCAGCCGTCCTCTAAGAGACCAATTGCGCCGCCACCAAGAGACAAAATTGGTTCAATGGTAAAAGTCATGCCCGCTTGCATTCGGCCCGGGGCCTCATTGGCTACATTTCGATTTAGCAAATTGAAGAATTTCTGAATACTTAAACGTAGTAATCAATTAAAGAGTTCTTACCGTAATGATAAATTTCGGGTGGACCATGAAAGTAGCTACCAATACCATGGCCAATAAATGCTGCCACGGATGCCAGGTCACGCTCTTGGCAATATCTCTCTATGCATTTACCGATTTCACTAAAGGGCACACCCGGGCCACAGAGTGCTATACACTTGTTTAGGCACTCGCGTGTTGAATCCACTAAAAAGCGTCCACGCTCATCGACGTCACCAACAAGAAAAGTCTCTGAACAATCCCCATGACAACCATTTTGGTAGACGGTCACATCAATGTTTATTATATCACCGTCGGCCAAGGGTCGGTCGTCCGGTATACCATGGCAGGCAACATTGTTAATGGACGTGCACAATGATTTGGGGAATCCAACATATCGAAGTGGGGATGGGTAGGCGTTTTCGGAAATAATACGCTGGTGCGCAAAGTCATCAATCTCATCCGTAGTTATGCCAATTTTTGCCATTTTGCCGCATTCCCGAAGTATCTGTGCTGCCAGCTTTCCGCTGGAGCGCATATGATTTAACTGCTCCACATTTTTGATTTCAGGAGTTCCTATTGTATTGCCTGCCGGCATTTCTTTATAATAGTACGGCGGCTTCTGTATGTGCTCGGGAACTTTCCGTTCATTAGAAACTTTGCCGGCGGCGCTTATTAATTCCCATTTGCCCTTATCTCTGCAATACAGAGATGCATTAGAAAACTACAGTTTACTTCAGTTAATAATTTAACATTGCTGAACAGATTAATTATATAAGACTACAGTAAGATTTTGGGTCATATTATATATCCTCGTAAATTCCTCGATTACTTTTTAAACTGCATATGCAGTTCTTTTAAACATATCGTAAAACATATTAAACATATCATAGCTTATAGGAACAATCCTAAGTAGCAGGCTGTGTACATGTTTTCACAAAACAGCTTTTATCATTTAATCAATAGCATTTGTATGCAATGTTTAAAATATTTAATATGTTAAACTTTTCAGCTGAAAGTGTAACTAGAAAATATACTATTACAACCTTTGTATCTAAAATAGACCATACCGCTTGCTAAGTTGGAAAAAATTCCTCTGCAGATATTGTCCATAAACATGCCATGAATTCCTCGATATTTGGAACCGCATTTTGTTTTTAACAACAAATAAACCAAAATTTAATTTCAACAGCTGGCCACGCACGGCAACTGCAATGTTACACACTTATCGATAATGCGAAATATCGATATTTGAATCGATAGCCCTAACAAATATGTTTTGTAAATAAACAAACTGACATGTATAACATAGAACTCCTTTTAACGCCGTAGTAAAAGCAAATTTAAATAAATATTAAATATATATGTCATGAGTTGCAACTATGCAGAAGGCCTTTCGGAATACGAAAATAAAGGAATTTTGGGTGTTCCAGAAGTAAGCAGTAAAATTTCTATACCCAATACATAAATAAAAACCAGAAAAAATTATGATTTTCAGAATTTCGACAGTGAAGAAATCGTCAACCAAAAATGTAAGGAGCTGGCAAACTTAATAAAAGACTCTAAACATGTTGTATTCCATACGGGTGCAGGCCTTAGCACATCAGCTGGTATTCCCGATTTTAGGTAATTGCTTAAACTGTGTTTTTATGTTTCTATGTTTTTTGACAATTATACTTTCAGAGGGCCCAAGGGCGTTTGGACGCTTGAGCAAAAAGGCGAAAAGCCTACTTTTAACACATCTTTTGACGCAGCAAGGCCAACTAAATCTCACATGGCCTTAAAGTCTTTAGTTGAGCATGGATATGTTCAGTATATTGTCTCTCAAAACATTGACGGCCTGCATTTAAAATCTGGCCTAGATCGAAAATACTTAGCGGAGCTGCACGGCAATATCTTTATAGAGCAGTGTCAGAAATGTCGACGGCAGTTCGTACGCAAGACGGCCGTGGAGACAGTGGGCCAAAAGCTATTAGGGCTCCCATGTAGGTCCGTTGAGATTGGCAATAGTCGCAGCTGTCGCGGCGGAGTTATGCACGATAACGTTTTGGATTGGGAACACGACCTACCCGAACGTGACCTAGATATGGCATTTATGAATTCAACGTAAGAAATATCCAATAGTATTAATGATTATCCCATCTTAAATATATATTTGAAAATGTAGGATGGCTGATATTAATATAACCCTGGGTACCACTCTGCAAATTGTCCCAAGCGGAAATTTACCTCTCAAAAATCTTAAGCATGGTGGTAAACTTGTCATATGCAACTTGCAGCCCACAAAGCATGTAAGATCACTCATAAAATACACATTGATTATTTAATAAGAACCATATCTTTTCAGGATAAGAAAGCATATTTAAGTATTTCGAGTTATATCGATGATATATTAACGAAAGTGTGCAAGCGTCTGGGCATTGAAATTCCAGAGTACTCGGAAGAGTATGATCCTACAAAGCATTCCAACGTTTCGGAATGGACACTGCCCCAAGAGTATGTTAAAGAAATGGATAAACAATTTAAGGAACATCAGAAATCTTCAGCAAAGAGTCGAAATATCGCTTCTACAAAATGTAAACCGCTCATTAAAGGAAAAATGATAAAAAAGCGTAAAATAAGTGAATAATCAGCATTAGAATAGTATTAAGAATAAATGTTAATAAATTTATAAATAACAACAAAGTCTAGCTAATATAGTCTATAATTAAGAGTATGTAAGTAACTAGAACTGTTTCAACACGGGACGATTCTGCAATGACTGCAGCTCGCTCAGCATCACAGCCACATTGTATCGTAGACGTTGAAACATTGATAATGGCAGCTCCAATGTTCGATACTCGCCATTATTCAATTTAAAATGCAGCACAATAGTCGGTTTATCCAGTTGAGCCATCCTAAAGATATCCGTATGTAATACAAAAAAAAAAGGGCAAATCAGCATTAACTTACGTTGAGCCCAGGGAAATGTTGATGCGCCACTGCATGTCCAGCATTTTTGCTCTTTCCATTTTGGTTTCCGCAAAATTTCTACTAAGCGTGGTGCGGTGGTTGAGCAGCACCTTGGTTAAATCCTCTGCGCACGCATCTGTGAAGCTAAAAGAGCCATACATGGATGTTACTTTATTAAATTATACTGGATCGCTAGCTACATTTATAAAATATAGATTGTTTTAAGCTTACCACAAATCGTCAGCTAAGCACTGGCGCAGCTCCTGATCCTTGACCACACCTTTTGGATATCGCAAATATATTTGCATTATCAGCAGCACCATTGTAAATAATTCGCAAAAATTCTTGGGTACTTCGTGTCCTGCATTTTTCAGTTTGTTAATTGCAAGTGCCAAGACGTCGGCTGATGATTTTTTTGTTTCAATATAATGCACAGAGACTTGTATTAAAACTCGAAGCGCTGATTTAGTTAATTGTGGAATGTATATGGTGTATGGTTTCACGCTCTTTAATATATGATATCGAAAATTTATGGACATTTTGTATTTTGCAATCTTTCTGTCCTTTCAAAATATTATTAATGCAATCTTGTTTTCGCTCCAATTGGACTAGTTCAATTTAGAGATGAACAAGGTTCACGTTCACTGAACAAAATCATCGCACACATTCGTGTCGCTCGAATGAACAATGGTTCTTCTACCTCTTAATTGAATTAGATTTCACAAGTGGTCCTGTATGTACTTGAAAATATTATAATAAAAGAGTTTTGAAAGTATCAGAATTTTATATTTTAAATATTAAAATTTTTCCAAGATTTGGTTTACATCACTATTTGAAATTCGGATGAGGGACAGCATTAAGACCTTTAAAACTACTATTGTTACGCTAGGCGGGTAGTTTTAACAAAAATGAGTAAACATTTAAGTTTAAATTAATTTTTGATTTGCAGTAAGCGATCAAAATGAAAACTGAGTGTTTTTGATATACATATGACCTGCTAGTTTGGTGGACGATCATTTAAGCAAGCTAGCTCCAACAACTTAATGGCATGTTTTTAACAAAGTTTTATAATCAGATAACTTTTTAAGCATAAGGTCAATTTTGTCATATCGTATCGAAGTTGACCAGAAACGTTGATAGAACTGGTTGATTTATTATTTTAAAATTAAATTATAATTAGTAATTATTTTGATTTTGGTTGTGGGAATAGACGAGGTAAGATAAGATACACACAAGTGCGCTACATACATGCTTATGTAAAGATGCTCGTTCATACATTGATAAGCAAATTACGATAGCTGAATTGTTTTGTATGCAGATGGAAATCATAATGAATAGAATTTGTACATTATTTGTATACTTTAATAATTTGCATTGAGTTGGTATATGCATAAATTAATTGGTGCCACATTTCGAATTTCTTATACTTTTTTAAACTAATGCAACACAAAAAAATATGTTCCCTTTCGATATACAATATCATTTTTTGTTTCTGTTATACGACAAAGATCTACTTATAACACGGTCCGCATCTTCAATATTGCTGTTCCTCTCTCCAAATCCTTTGCCTCATCCTCCTCCGGCTCTGTTGTGACGGCACCGCACACACACACGAATGGAATTATTAGCTGCTGCGGCTGCTGCTGTTGCTTATGCTGGCAGCTGTAGCTTTTTGCCTTTGAGCACTTTGGTAATATATAGATAAAAGAAATCGCAGTAAAGTATGGTTTGGACGATGCCCGCAAAGATCGCAATAAGATCATAATGCGACTCCACCATGTAGCGATAAACCCAATTGAGCAGATACAGGGCACGGTACGAGCCCAGGGCAAACAAATAATGGCTTGTAATCGATTCGGCCTCTCCGGTCTTGCTAACCAGGAACAGTTGCGGCAATATGGCAACCGATTCCAAATAAATTGAGAATGTCCAGAGCACCTCCATCAATGTAAACTCGTGATTAATTACCAAAGATAGCAGAGCACATGGTATTAGCAGAAATTCAATGCGGAACGAATCATGATTGTGATCGTAGGTGGCCTTAAATTTCACGTACATCAGATAGACCGTTGCGCCCGATGTGGCCAGGAAGAGCACCTTCATTACCGAATTGTAGAGGCTGACGTATGTAGTGAATAGATCCAAGTAGCGTGTCAGATAGACGATAGCGAATAATATTTGAGATTTGCCAGAGATGCCGGCGCATGATCGTGTCTTCCATATTTTAAGCAATAGTATTATTATAGCAAATACATGCGATAAATCTCCAGCAAACCGAAAAATATTCATTCTGAGTGATTCGTCAGTTCTTTTTTTTTTTCTTCGTTTTTAGTGTGGACTGTTCTTTCTTGTAGTTGCACGGTTTTCGCGACGCCACCCTGAATGGGATAAGAGTATTTGCAATTATGCTATAATGTTTTAGCAATTACAATACCGTACTTTACCAAACCACACAATTTGTTTAATTTTCACTTGTTTTGCCAACGAGTTAAAACTTTTTGGTGTTGTGCCGCCTATATGTACGTAGAATGTCGGCACAAAAGAGAGAAACAAAGAGAGCCAAAGTGACGTGGCCACATACATATATGAGCATCCGAGACGTTTGAGCACAATTTATTTGTTCTCAACAGAATATAAAAACAGGGCTGCATTCAATAATCGAATTAGTAATGTAAGCCGGCACACTCGATAAAAATGACAATACTTCTTCATCGCAACACAACGATATACATCAATGCGTCGATAAGCTGATTGTCGACAGAGATGCAGTAGTTTGTTTAGCCATTTTATTTTCACTTAAAGAAATAATTATACGCTGCTAAAATTTATAAATTTTGTTTATCAAGAAATAGTAAAACGGCCCAAAAATGGTAAGTTTGATGTAAATGTTTTGTTTAGAGAAATTAAAAAAAGAAAATTGTAAACGTTTGTGTCCTCATTATGCCGCCTTTGCCGGCCATGCTTGTTTTCTTTTGCTTGGTTTTGGTTTAACAAAATAAACTAAATTATGCTTTCATTTTTCAGACTATTGGCAAGAATAACAAAATGATTCAGCACCTGAATTATCGGGTGCGAATTGTACTGCAGGATTCTAGGACGTTTATTGGAACTTTCAAGGCATTTGATAAGCATATGAATCTTATATTGGGCGACTGCGAAGAGTTCCGTAAAATACGCTCTAAAAACTCGAAAGTGCCAGAGCGGGAGGAGAAGCGTGTGCTGGGGTTTGTGCTGCTGCGTGGTGAGAACATAGTATCACTTACCGTTGAAGGCCCGCCACCACCCGAAGAGGGTCTGCCACGAGTACCCATTCCAGGCGCTGCCCCAGGTCCAGGAATTGGTCGTGTAGCTGGCCGTGGCGTACCGATGAACATATCGTCCGTACCGGCTGGCTTGCAAGGTCCCGTAAGAGGCGTGGGTGGTCCCGCTCAACAGCACATGGCGCCGATGGGTCGAGGTGTACCCCGAGCCCCAATGATGGGTGCACCGCCGCCAGGCATGATTCCCGGCGGCATTCCTGCTATGCCAGGCAGTCTCGGACGCGGCGCACCACCACCAATGAGAGGACCACCACCGATGATGCGCGGTGCACCACCGCCAGGTCGGGGTGGCTATTAATTAACAGCATCCGTTTATCTTTATAGTAAATAAAATAAAATTTGAGTCAGTAATTGGCTTTTTATGTGGGTAAATCTGAGAATTGGTTCTTCGTATTTCGATCTCATTTACGAAGTCTCAATGATATCTAGCTATATACTCGATATGTAAAGCAATCAGTTATTTTACATTTTGAGAGGTCAAATATAGCAAATAAACATAATATTGGAGTTTTGAAGCTTTTAAATTTATATATATTTGTTTTTTTATATTTTGCATGCTTTAAATAAGTTCATACATATATATTTATTTGAATGTTACAGACGTTTGATTTTTATTGATATCCATGGATTTTCGTTTTACATCAATTTCAATTTGATGAAAAATGAACTTATCAATTGTAATTATTTATAATTATATGTATATGCGTTTTATGTTGAACATTGCTTATATCGTAAAAGTGCTTCCAACCGTGGCAAATTTCATTCTTTTTTTTCAATACTTACATATGTATTTGGTATTTTTTATTTAGTTTCATACAATACAATATAAATTTTTAAAATTGAAACGCCGAACTTGCGGTCAAGTCATGCAGGCTGCTTAGTTGCCGTTGTATAAACATTATGCCCAAATGGTTGACAAATCCCACACCTTGATGAGTCGATCCTGACCGACGGTCAGCAGACGCTTACGCTCCTCGTCCAAGTCCATATGCACAATAGAATGCTTGGCATCGTGAAAGGCTGCTAAAGATGGACGCTCCACTGTCTGCAGCTGCTTGTAGCATGGATCGCAGCAGCGCACGTCGAATTCAAAACCCATTATGGGTATATTGATGCGATTCGTTGAGCAATTATCGCAAACAGCTTTGCCGCAGTGCCGGCAATGATGTTGTCGTATGCCTGCATGAAAATAACATTTAAAAATCAACTCTTTTAATACAAATTCATTAACTTGCCCAATTGTTTTTGGTCCATCATCGAACGAAAGTTCCAAAAGAATGGTCTTGAACACAGCTGGCAATTATTGGACTCCACCCAGCCAGGCACCTCCTTGCGCATCGCGTTCATTTCCCAAAAGACGACAACTGAATCCTCACCACACGTAATCAATTGCTGAGTGTGGTTGGCGTACGCCAAAGCCGATACTTTGTTGCTGAATCGAGGGGGTGTTCCATGATAATATGTTGTTATCAGATATGGTTGTATGTGTGTTACCTATGGCCTTGCAATTCGTAAATTGTGCCTCGCTTGCCACCAACATCCCAGACAATAACCGATTGATCGCACGCACCACTGAACAATAGCTGAGGACCTTCGACCCATCTTAAACATCTTATGCCAGCTGAAAAGGTATTGTGTTAGTCAAAGTCTTATCAGCATCGGATTGCACAACTGCCATATCTTATTTTAACTTCTTGTTTTTATATTTTCTTTTATTCTCTGCAATTGTTTTACCAGTGTGTCCTTTGAATGTGGTGATAAGCTGCACTCCCTGCACTTCGCAGCGCAGCATTGTTATTTGACCCGCATGATCTCCAATGAATGCATATTTTGCCAAAGCATCAAACCTAGATTAAAGTTAATTTGAGCTTCAAATTAAATTGCTCTGATTTAAGCATAACTACTGCAATCTCATGTCAAGCGGAGATTACATATTTACTCACTGTAGCGCTGTGCATGGTGTTTCAAAATTGTATCCGCCCACTCGCTTTGCGGTCTCCGTACAATGGTATGCGAACTGTTTATCTTTGCCAGCAGAGAGTATCCAGTTATGGCTCTTGGAAAATACGACGGCTACAACGCGGCCCTGATGCGACAAATAGTCGCGCATGAATGATAAGCGATTGCAGTCCTCAGATAGTGTGTATTGGGTGACGGTACCATTGTCTTGGCCAATGTACAATTGTCGCAGCTCCGGAACATATTCGATGGCCGTACAGCCTGACGGCATATACTGGCAAATACTGGGCCAATATTGGCCGGAATCTCGTTTAAGCCATACCCGCACAGTTCTATATATGTACAAATTGGAAATTTACTTGGGCAAAGCTAATGTTTATTGTGTTTGTTTACGCACTTGTCGTCAGAAACGCTAATTACTCCGTTTTCGCCTGGTATTAAAATAGCCGCGTTTACATCATCCCCGCTTCCCTCTAATTTACTGAGTAACTCCGGCTTTTTGGTCGACAAAAAGCGATCGTTGTTGCTGCGCTGCGCTGGTTTTATCTCGGCTGCCATTCTTTCACTGAGAGCGAGAGTTATGATCTATAGCAAATACTTATGGTGGTACTGTGTGTATCCGTGTGAATTAATTTAATAGCACAGATAAGCGTTCGGTGTTGTCCGCGAATTGTTAATTTGTTTAACTGAATGAATGAATCACAAATAAACTTATTTTATCCAAAATTAAGATCAGTGTGACCCCTACTACAAAAAATGGTAATTCTATTAATTTAATAATTAAAGAGGTCACACTTTTCCAATAAGAGATTCAAAATTATCGATTTTTTCGCCTACTCGATAATTTGTATAACCTAATGCATGAATATTAAAAAAAACGGATTTTATCTAAAATGCAGAGCCCAACTAAAATAAACGGTTATTCTATTAAGAGAAATCTTTTTTTTTTGCAGAGTTAAAAAACTATCGGTTATTTGACCACCCGATAGTTATGTCAACGACTTGTGATACTATTGTATTCAAATTATTAATACCGTGAGTCGGTATCCAACTCCTTTCTTCACAGCCACCTTATAAACATTCCAATGTGAAAATTGAAATTCAAACTTAAGCAGAACTAAAAATCAATTCTGATGAGCCTACTAACAGGATGGTCACCCATTGTTACTATCTTATGTGAGAACCGTTCGAAAATCAAATTAATAATAAGGCGCGTTACCTTCTCAAAAGTCTCATCTACTTTGCTGCACACATTCGTATAATTCTATTAAACGAAACAGAAGGCTGCAATTGACTTAACCGTTTGCCTTAACGGAAAAAATTTAATCAAAAATGCCAATTGGAAATATTATCAAAAAGGCATCCAACTTTATTCTCGGTGAAGAGAGGTCTGATGAAAAAATCGATATCGCTTACGAAGACAACGAAATACTTTTTTGCAAGAACAATGTTTGTATTCATCCACCGACTGTGGCTCGCCAGGAATCCGATATCCTACACTATCCCGGCTACTTGACATGCACCACGAAAACCTTTATAGATCAGTACAACAGCGCCAAAAGACCAACCCTCCTACTCACATGGATACCGAACACCTCACTCTGCAAGTGCAATTCGACCACCACCGACGGGGAGGCTATACACCATCGGAATCATGATATGCTACCAACCAATGGACATTTCTCGCCCACATCCCAAGTGGCGGTGCCCGCGCCCCGGATCATCGATGAGACGGAACATGAAATGGGCACGCGAGCCGACGATGAAAACGCGGCTGAAATGCAGGAATTGAAAAACGAGTTGCAGCCGCTGCTGGGCGGACAAACTGCATCCATTGGCGATTTGGCTGCTCTGCTCAAAAAGAACCCCATTACATCCGTAAACATAACCATTTCCAATCCACAGATCGAGAACAGCAACATCTCCCAATCGTACAACTGTATTATTGCCTCGCCCGACAGTGAGGGCAGCCATGCTGCTGTAGATGGCCGAGCAAATCTGCCTACACATCAGCTAAACTCGGATGGGTCCGTGTCCGATGATAATAATCCAAACTGGATGACCCCAGAGCTGCTGGCCTTCAAGCATAACCTGGTGTTCCCGGAGAGTGCCAACGCCACGCCGACTGTGCGCCGTAAAGCAGTAATCAGAGGACGTCGCTTTTCCGTCGATCTTAGCCAAATGCGCTCCTTGCGTCTCTTCTTCAACGATGATAAGTGCACGTCCGGTCAGCTGGTGATAGCTTCGCGCGAATCACAATACAAGATACTACATTTCCATTACGGTGGCTTGGATCACTTGGCTCAGGTGCTGCACCAGTGGCACTGTTTTCTACACAATATTACCTTAGCTCCTGGCCAGGAGAAGATGAACTTGCCGTATCGACACTTTATGGTCTGTCGCCCCGAAGTCAAACAGTCCGAGATGCATCCCGATGAGGGCAATGTGAAAAGAATCACCACAAACTTCTTCTATGGCACGCTGTTAAACGAGAAGGGCCAAATTGATGATGATTTGTTGCTGCGCAAGTGCGTCTTTTTCGGTGGCCTGGAAAAGAGTCTGCGCAAAACCGTTTGGCCTTTCATCTTGAAGTGCTATTCGTTCTCATCAACATTCGAGGACAGGGCCGTGCTGATGGACATCAAGCGGCAGGAGTACGATGAAATAACACGCAAGCGTTTGTACTCCATGTCGCCGGAGCAGCAGGTGCAATTCTGGAGGACTGTGCAGTGCGTTGTCGAGAAGGACGTTGTTCGCACCGATCGTACAAATCCCTTTTTCTGCGGTGACGACAATCCCAACACCGAGATGATGAAAAACATTTTGCTAAACTTTGCCATTTACAACACGAGCATATCCTACTCGCAGGTAAGCTCTTATTTACTACGTGATTGCCCTTTTATCCAAATGATTGTCTTTATATTTTCAGGGCATGAGTGATCTACTAGCACCCGTGTTGTGTGAAGTGCAAAACGAATCGGAAACATTCTGGTGTTTTGTGGGCTTAATGCAACGGGCGTTTTTTGTTTGCACGCCCACGGATAACGATGTAGACCACAATTTGAGCTACCTGCGTGAGTTGATAAGACTCATGTTGCCGCGTTTTTACGAGCACTTGGAACGACACAACGAAGCCATGGAGCTACTGTTCTGTCATCGTTGGCTTTTGCTATGCTTTAAGCGGGAATTCACCGAGGCCGTGGTCATACGCATGTGGGAGGCTTGCTGGTCAAACTATCTCACAGACTACTTTCATTTGTTCCTCTGCCTGGCCATAATTGCTGTCTATGCGGATGATGTTATTGCTCAGAACTTGCGTGCCGACGAGATGCTGCTGCACTTCAGCTCACTGGCCATGTACATGGATGGCCAACTGATTTTGCGTAAGGCACGCGGCTTGCTGTATCAGTATCGACAGCTACCAAAGATTCCATGCACATTAAGTGGTCTGTGCAAGCGCTGTGGTCCTGGCATGTGGGACTCGGAGCATCGACCTGCCTTGGAATGCGTGGGGCATACGGATAACGAGAAGTGCTCTTTGGGTATTGATTAATTTATGTGGCTTCTACTGTTGTATATCGAGTTACTCTTACTTATTTATACTATATTACAATTATGTGTTATAATGAAAGCTTTTAAGCGAGTGCTTCTAAATATACTAAATAATATATGCCTATGCTGAATAAATGTTTACTTCCTCAAAGATAAATTAAGAAGTTACACGGTAAATGTTGAATATGATAGTAAATGTAACTATTTAAAGCAGCAACATGAGCATTTATTTTTTTTTTGTACAATGCACTGAGCAAACGTGTATGTCATTCCCTATATATATTATTCTCTGATCTTAATTACGTTGGTGCAAGCTTCGTGCTGCGGTTTAACAAGGCGAGTTCATTTGCAATATAAGGCATTTTAATATGAATAAAATCGTATTTTTCTTGTGATTAAAGTATGGTCAATTCTGCCTTAAAACTAGGCATGCCCTACACACATATTTATGTATATCCATGTTGCTAATTTTGCAAACTTAGTTTCTGAAGGTATAAATGATGATTGAGCATCGATATTCTATGCTGCAGGATATTTTACATTTGCGGTAGCTGATCAATTGGTGTTGTAAACTTGAAATCCTCTGGAAATAGTTTTGCCGCATGCGGGTACATTAGCTTATATGATTGTCTTATGGTCACATCAGCTACTCCAGCAATATCACCAATTTCCTTTTGGCTGCGCTTATGCTCAGATGCTTGCGATGCCATATAAATTGCGGCGGCTGCCACAGAGATTGGCGATCGACCAGGTACAATGTCCATTTCCACAGCTTTTTTTGCAATGTGTGTAGCAGCTCGCTGCACCATATTCGGCAAATCTGCAAATATACAATATATACAAAATTATGTCGAATCTTAAAATTCCCTTTAAACAATCAACTTACCCAAGTTTGCACAAAAACGGCACATAAAGTCGGCAGTGGTAATTAAATCCACACTTGTCTCAAGTGCTTTTAATGTGAGCTTAAAGCATCTACCAATTTCTTTCTTGCTAATCTTACTAACTGCACAGATTTCCTTGAATGTGCGTGGAACACCTTCTTGGCGGCAGGCTATATACAAGCAAGCGGATGCCTTGGCATCATTTGAGCGTCCTTTTAGATTTTTACCATCATGTACCTGCAAAACAAATCGGGCTATAATAGTTATCAAACTAAATACTTGTTCTGCTCACCTGCTTGAATAAGTTATTTGCGCGGTCGACAATGGTTTTGGGTAAATTGATGCGATCAGCCATTGATGAAATTTCTTTGAATGCGGAGATTAGCGAACGATCTGAACTGCTCATAGTGCGTCTGTTTTGGTATTTGGGTGCCCCGAAAGCATCGAATGAAGCCGAGCCTGTGCCAGGACCAATAATTGTGGATAAATCACCACCACTAAGTAGGGGATTCTCTGGACCGCCAACACGACTGGGATCTACACCACTTTTCTCGTTGCTGAATGTACGCCACTCGGAGCCCACATCAATAACGCGATCTCCAACAACCAAGCCACACTCTGAGCATATCATGTCACCAGCTCGATAATCCTCAATTAATGGAGACTCGGGGTGTGCATAGCAGCACACCTTATTGTTTTCGAGTCTAGTGAAATGCAATGATGCTTATTAAAACGATTAACAAAGGATATTAAACATATTATTTACCTTGAAGTTGAAGCCATTTGATATTAGTTTATCGTTTTTAATGCTCAACTATTTTTTAATCTTTTACGTTTTTTCTATTTGCAAACGCAAAAAATTAATTTCGACTGACAAAAAAATTCGCTTCTTCTTCTTCGTTTATCTGTTAAATTAACATTGTCGTAACATGTTTTTAACAGGTTGTCCAAATACTTACGAAGAGCTGAAAAAAAATCCTATTTACATATATTAAAAAACAGGAAAAATATAATTAAACTCTTATCGCCGCCTTTGACAAATATCAAAGAATTGACCCACAATAATTTCGAAATTTTAAAGCTGATTACAGAACCATTACAAAACAGCTGATTTTAACATTTATCGGTTATCAGCGGAAAAGAGATAGGTAAGCTTTGCGATATTATTTTAAAACTGTTTTTAAGCGCTTAACTTCTTTTTAAAAGAGCAAAATAATTACAATTTTATAAGGACATATAAGATGCTTCGAGTTCAGCTTTCTAACTGAACACAATATTTCATTTACAAGTCTATTTTTGAAACTAAAAGTCAGACTGCTGTAGAAACATTTTATTTTCCCTCAATCACATAGCATAACTAAGTTCACTAAGCGGCACAATTAATATCGAACTTTTTTACACAGTCAATAATGTGCGACTATCGATAAATAGTAGTGTTAAACAGATTTCGAAAATTATCTGCATACACACACACATATGTATTTTATGTTGAAGAAAAACAAAAGAGAGGCCCTTATATTTTTGGTGCATCGGAATACGGATTAAATGATACGCAAATTCTGTAGTGCTTCTATCGCTCAGGAAACTCGTGTCAGCTGTTTTTGACAATTTCTATGCCTACATAAATAATTTTCTCAGACATACAATACGATTAAGAAAGCAAAACTATTCCCAGCATGACGAGCAAACATATTTATTCAACAACAAATTTATCTGACCTGCAATTGAAGGAACAGGGCAATTGTTTATTTGCAGCTCGCAAATATGACGATGCTATTATATGTTACTCCAAGGCCATTGTAAGTCAATTTTAAACTTCAGAATTTAATGTGAATCATATGTGTATAACATTTATATAGATTAAAAATCCCACAAATGCAACCTATTTTACAAACCGTGCCCTTTGCAATCTGAAGCTGAAGCGTTGGGAGCTATGCTGTCAGGATTGCCGGCGAGCTTTGGATATAGATGGAAATTTGCTAAAAGGACATTTTTTCTTGGGACAGGGCCTTATGGAGATAGATAATTATGATGAAGCAATAAAGCACCTTCAACGAGGTAGACATAAATACTATTGGAAAACCCCTTGGAACTCTAATGGTCCTTTATTTTAAGCCTATGATTTGTCTAAGGAACAAAAACAGAACTTCGGAGATGATATAACATTGCAGTTGAGACTAGCACGCAAAAAGCGTTGGAACGTTCTAGAGGAAAAACGAATACACCAAGAAATTGAGCTGCAGAGTTATTTAAATCGGTAATCGTACACCTAGTTAAGTCTCACTTGAAAATTCCTTAAACTTTAATCTATATTACCTAATATATTGCCAGCTTGATCAAAGATGATATGGAAAACCGTTTAGCCAGTTTAAAGTTGAATGAAAACCTGAATGAGGAACATCTTAAAGATAAACAGCAGGAAATTGAACAAGAATGTGTAAGTTTTGTATGCATAAGAGAGGAACTCGCATTACTAAGCTCAATTGAGTTATCAAAAATTCCATTCGCGTGTCGTCACATAACTATAGTTAGCTTTTTAAGATTTCAATAATTAATGAATGCTATAATATAGTGTACTCTAACTTTTGCCGTGTAATTTGGACTACGCTATAGAGTTAAGAATTCATAAAAAATGTAATTTGACTCTTCATTGTTATTTATATAAATTTCTCCAATAGGACGATCACATCCAAGAGCTTAACAATATATTCGCAAAAGTGGATGAACGCCGAAGGGTAAGTAATGAAGTTAAGTTACAAGTGCAGACTATATTTAAATGCATAAAATTTGATTTACAGAAACGTGATGTGCCGGATTTCCTATGTGGAAAAATAAGCTTTGAGATTTTAACTGACCCTGTGATCACCCCATCTGGTATCACTTATGAGCGGAAGGATATTGAGGAGCATTTGCAGCGTGTTGGCCATTTTGATCCTGTTACACGAGTCAAACTCACGCAAGACCAGTTAATACCAAACTTTTCAATGAAAGAGGTAGTTGACTCATTTATTGCCGACAATGAATGGTCTTTAGATTATTAAGTTGTTGTTTTTTGTAATTATAAACAACACAGCAAATATATATATTGTAATTAAATATCTGTTAGAAGCAGTCATATATAAAAGGTCAAGAAATATTTGTCTCAATTTATTAAATATGTTCGTTTCAAAACATCATATATGGATGACATCAAACAAAATAATACAGTAAAATACATACATAGGCCTTGTTGCAAGAGCTAATTGGAACTATTTTAATTAATTCTTAGAAAAGTAAGGAAGAGGGCGGAAACATCGTGAGAAAAATCGCTTTTAACGCAAGTCAAAATGGAAACGATGATTGAACACGCGAAGTATCGATACATTTTCCGATAGGACTCAGTCGCTTAGAAAACGGCGCGAACGCGTAAATATCTTTCCAATATAAAGTTCAGTGGAAATTACAATAAAGATGTCTGAAAGCAATGGTACGGTTGTGCGTATGCCATGGGTTGAAAAATACCGTCCCAACTGCTTGGATGACTTGATATCCCATGAGGAAATAATATCCACTAGTAAGTGCATGCTTTAATTGTGGCAGACGAATTGTGCAGCTCACATTTTTTTTTCTTCATTTTAGTAAATCGTTTCATTAATCAGAAGCAGCTGCCGCACTTGCTCTTTTATGGGCCACCTGGCACGGGCAAGACGAGTACTATCCTTGCCTGTGCACGTCAGCTTTATTCGCCGGCACACTTCAAGTCTATGGTATTGGAGTTAAATGCTTCCGATGATCGTGGCATTGGAATCGTTCGCGGCCAGATACTTAACTTTGCCTCGACACGCACCATTTTTTGTGGCACTTTTAAGCTAATCATTCTGGATGAGGCAGATGCTATGACCAACGACGCGCAGAATGCACTGCGCCGCATCATTGAAAAGTACACGGAAAACGTTCGCTTTTGCGTCATTTGCAATTACCTGAGCAAAATAATACCGGCTCTACAATCGCGTTGCACACGCTTTCGCTTTGCACCGCTCTCGCCCGAGCAGATGCTGCCGCGTCTTGACAAGGTTATACAGGAAGAAAAGTAAGTGACCAATGAAGATTTTCAATTAGTGTCTTTTTAAACTAACCATTTGTACTGCTTGTTTTTTAAGGGTCAACGTTACGGATGATGGCAAGAACGCATTACTAACGCTAGCCAAAGGTGATATGCGAAAAGTGTTAAATGTGCTGCAGAGTACCTCAATGGCTTTTGATATAGTCAACGAGGATAATGTTTATATGTGTGTGGGTTATCCGCTAAGAAGTGAAATTGAACACATGCTGCAAACATTGCTCTCGGCAGCAACCTTTGATTCGGCATTTGATAGTAAGTACGCAGCGTATAGAAAAAGAGTAATCCGTAGTTTAACTAACTCACTTTTGATCAGCTATTGAGGAAGCCAAGAGTAAGCGCGGACTTGCCCTGGAGGACATTGTCACTGAACTGCATTTGTTCATTATGAGACGTGAGTATAATTTACAGTGCTTTTTTATTTGTATAATTAATTCTTACTTTTCGCCTACAGTTGAATTGCCCATGTCGGTAATGAATAAATTAATTGTGAAGATGGCACAGGTCGAGGAAAGATTAGCAAAAGGATGCACTGAGACTGCCCAAACTGCAGCGCTGGTCTCTGCTTTTTTTATAAGTCGTGACATGGTTTCGCTGGAGAGCTAGAGGGCTGGTGAATTTGTTTGTCATTATATATGTAAATTAAACTTAAGCTACCTATTAAATGAAAATGCATGGAGTAAGCCGATATTTAGAATTTGTTTAAATAATTAAGGGATTCAAGATACCTATCGTCGCGAGGTTTTTGATATTGACGATATATGTTGTCATTGCTGTCATCACTAATAAACAACTATCGATAACTCAGATATTTGTGTTTTATTTTTTGTGCGTTTCACCTGATACTTGAAAAAAATGAATTCTGCTGACACGGAAACTCATTTATTGGCTTTGAAGGGTATGCATACCGATCTACAGTCTTTTAGATAATAAATAATGCTTTCATTCTTATTATAGTTATGCGACTGACCCGCCCCACGTTAGTAGGGCTTGGGCCAATTGTTACCTGCGAGCCGAAGGATTTGCCACAGAGTTTTAACCGACTGGTAGAGTTCGATGGCATTGCCAGAACCTGTGCCGAAGCACTTGGAGCTGGCCAAACTATGCTGTTACCCCAATCATTTGGAAATATATATCTAGGCGAAACCTTTTCCAGCTACATTTGTGTACACAATTGCACGACTCATCCCGTTGAAGGCGTTTCTGTAAAGGTCGATTTGCAGTCAAACACGTCGCGAATAAATTTGCTAATGCATGAAAACAAGAAATCTTCCGTGGTCTTAACAGCCGATGAGACGCTCGATGATGTCATTCGATATGAAGTAAAGGAGATTGGAACTCACATGTGCGTAACATCTGTCTAAGTCAATCTATTTTATCTTTAATTAACTAAAAACATCTATTAGATTGGTGTGTGAGGTGAATTATACTAGTCCCGCTGGCTTCGCACAATCTCTGAGAAAGTTCTTCAAGTTTCAAGTGCTCAAGCCACTGGATGTGAAAACTAAGTTTTATAATGCCGAAATGGATGAAATATATCTAGAGGCGCAAATTCAAAATGTGACCACCGGACCATTTTGTCTGGAAAAAGTTGAATTGGATAGTTCCGAGCAATACACAGTGACTTCCTTGAATACGCTACCCAACGGAGAGTCGGTATTCACGTCCAAAAATATGCTGCAGCCAAATAACAGCTGTCAATTTCTGTATTGCATAAAGGTTGATCCAATGGTCGCATAAACTTTCATTCACAAGATTAAATATTTTTAAAATTCCAGCCAAAACCCGAAGTTGCAAAAGACATCAAAACACTTCGCGAAGCAAATAATGTGGGTAAGCTGGACATTGTCTGGAGATCGAATTTTGGGGAGAAGGGCAGATTGCAGACGAGCCAATTGCAGAGATTGGTATGTAGTCAGAAAAGGCATTCACACAAATTGGATTTGGATAAGTTTTTAATCACTTTCAGCCCTTTGAATACAAAGACCTGCGCTTAGAAGTAATCGATGCTGAAAATATTGTCAAAATCGGCACCATATTTACATTCAAATGCAGAGTAACCAATACAGCCGAGCACGCCATGAAACTGCACATTACTCTCGAAACTAAAGCGTTTGCCGACTGCCCCTATACTGGTTCAGCTGATTTTGTATTGGATGTGCTGCAGCCGGGCCAGCTTGCAGAATTTCCACTAACCATTTGTCCATCTAAATTGGGGCTTATTAAGGTATCCCCATTACTTATAGTAGACACTCTAAAAAACGAGCAATTCCTAATTACAAAAGTTGTGGAAGTCTTTGTTGTAGATGCCGATTACCATCAGGATGGTACATTTTTGCTAAATAAGTTGATTCGTTATGAAAATCCCATTGACTCGTTAATGCAAAAGCAAATACAGTTGCAAGTGGTATAGTGATTGCCTGAATAAAATTGAAAATTTAAAAGAAAGCCAATTGTAAATAATAGCAGTCACTATAATTATAAGTATAGAATACATTAAAAAACTATTAATCTATTTTAATAGCATATAGGATCGAGGCGGCTCCTTTAACTGTAACTAAAAATGTATTTCTGCAGATTTTGTTTGATTGATAATTTAATTGACTCCTTACGCACTATTACGCGTACATTTTTCAATTTGCATTCGTAAGTGCTTGCTTCAATTTGAACTGTCAATCAACCACCTAGTGCACTATGCTATAAAAGAAAGCGTGTTTGCTTAAATATCACAGAGCAGAAGGGAAATTATATGCAATGTGTTTAAGCGTGCTTGCATTAGTGTTCACCTTAGCATGTGTCTTTTTGGGACAAAGTTCCCCAATGGAAACTTCTGTTTTAACGGAGTTCACGACGCGATTGGTTAAAACTAAAGAAAGCATTATATTTGCCTGTTCTGAACAAGGTATGGTATTTACTTTTATATTGCCAAACTTGCATCTATTAATTTTGCATAATTTTTTTCGTTTTAGATCTTTATTCGAATGCTCTAGCCCTGATGGAATCCAATCAATTTGTTCAACCGGTCCACATAAATAGCTCATATTTTCTCAAATCAATTTTAACAAGAAAAAATTACGCTCGAACTACGGTGATTGTCGACACAAATTGCGACGGTTCATCTAGGCTGCTTAAGGAGGCTTCTGCCAATAGATATTTCAACAAAACATATCAGTGGCTGCTGTGGGGCATAGATAGGAAAATTGACGAGTTGCTGCCACTCGAGCTAGATTACGTTGGCCCGAATGCGCAAATGACCTATGTCAATAAAACAAAAGACACATATTATCTTTGGGACGTACATTCAAAAGGCCGTCAACTGAAATCAGCCTTGGAGCTACATTTAATAGCACAACTATCAAATGATAAAAAAAAATTGTTTATAATTAAAGACATATTCGAGCTGCAAAGCATAAAATATCGCAGTCAATTCAATGGATTGACTTTAAGGGGTGCAAGTGTGGTAAGCAAAAATGCTTTATAAATAAAATTAAATTCCCGCTTATACAAACCAATTATTAATATATTTTAGATTGATCAAGAGGATATATTGACGAATGAACAAATTGAAGCAATACTATCACGACCCACAAAGGATCCTGGTGTAGCAGCATTCATCAAGTATCATTACGAGCTGTTATCCCTGCTCAGAGATCGTTTTAACTTTACCGTAAAGTTCCGCAACTCCAGGGGCTGGGCTGGTAGATTGGGCAACACAACTTTTCGATTGGGGTTGCTGGGCATAATTATGCGCAACGAGGCAGACATTGCAGCTTCGGGCGCATTCAATCGTATAAATCGGTTTGCTGAGTTCGACACTATACATCAGAGCTGGAAGTTTGAGACGGCGTTTTTATTTCGCTTTACGCCCGATTTGGATACACACGGAAAAAGCGGTAACTTTTTAGCACCCTTTAGCAGACAGGTGTGGTTCTTCACGCTGGGCACCTTGATAGGGATTAACGTCATTTGGCTGCTTCTCGAGTACCTGAGCAAAAGATGGCATTCCAAAACAGAGAAACAGTTGAAACGAAGAAACTTGAATATAAGGAATATATTGTGGGTAGCTAGATTGAAGCGTAGGGGCATAAATTTGACAGCTGAAAATAAAATGACGCGTGCAGATCCCAAATCCCAAAGCCACTGGACTGAACGTATTCTACATACTTTTGGCGCCGTTTGTCAACAGGGCATGGAACCTATTCCCAAAGACTTACCGTCTCGTTCCATTGTGGTAACAGTTTTCCTATTCTCCGTGGTAATGTACAACTATTACACCTCATCTGTCGTTGGTGGATTGCTTAGCTCTTCGGATCATGGTCCGGCTACGGTTGATGAAATAACATCTAGCCCGCTCAAAATATCATTTGAAGATATAGGATACTATAAAGTTCTATTTAGAGTAAGTCGAAACAATCACGTAAAGAGATTCTGCTTTGATTTAAATATGTTTTAAAATAGGAAAGTGCAAACCCGGTTGTGACTCGGCTAATAAGCAAGAAATTATCCTCATCTAGAGGTGCCAATGAAATGGGTGTTTACGGTCACATAGAGGAAGCAATCCCTTATCTCAAGAGCGGCGGTTTCGCATTTCATTGCGAGGTTGTAGACGCTTATCCGATAATAGCAGAATTGTTTGATGCTAATGAAATCTGCGATTTACGGGAGGTATCTGGTCTCATGGAAGTGGAGATTATGAATTGGATTGTGCATAAAAATAGTCAATATACGGAGCTTTTCAAAATAGCGTAAGTACGTAATTGTAACGACATGTAATTTGTTATAATTTGGTTTGCTATTTAGAATGTGCAATGCTCGCGAAGTTGGTTTAGTTGAGAGAATTCTACGACAGCGTCAAATGAAAAAGCCGGAATGTCAGTCGTTGTACACCGTCTACCCGGTGACCATATCAGGTGTTTCTTCAGCATTTCTCACCCTGCTATGTAAGAAATAGTATACTTTTTTTTTTTAATGTTTAATTCATGACCACGTTTTAAGGTGGTGCATTACTCGCTTTACTGGCGCTGTGTCTGGAGATAGTAACAGTTAAATTGCGATTACGAAGGATTTAACTAGAATCTAACTGGAATTAGCTTTTTTCTTACCCGCTTAATTTTGCTAACAGTTATCGGTTAAAAATCAAAGCGTGGTATTAAAACAGTATTTTTCGTAACTGCTTAACAGTATTTTTTCAAACATTCAATATTTTGTAGCAAACCATTTGCAGCTCTCAAAACATTTAAAACTAGAAATTTATTCACAAAGTGTAAGCAAACGTTGATTGGAAAAAGAAATACCTGGAATATGCTTGGAGGACAAGATATCAAAACTGAAATCAAAGGAGTTGAGGATTATAATGAAATATTTATACAAGTCTGATAAATCTAGTAAGTCTACAAAGGACACCCATCTCAAGAAATCGCATACGTATGTATTCGGATGAAAAGCCATACTAGCACGTATGACCTGAAGGTAATCGAATCATAATATATAGTTTAATAATATTACACAGATTTAATTTGAACACTTAGAGAAGAACAGAGTTCTAAGTTCTTATAAGAATCTTTTTGGAGTTTGAGTGCAAGCATATTAATTGATTTATGTATATGATTTTTCTAAAAAAGGCAGACAGACATATTTTGTTGGTTTTATTTCGTGATTAGGCAATCGACATATGTATTAATACAGTTCATTTTTGCACTAGTTTAACATAATTTTGTTCAAAAGTTCACAAATAAAATAATTGAATTGCCAAATTAGTACACTTTATTAGGGATCGATGAAGTTATTTAAAAATTTATCTAAATGGTAATATGCCTCGAATGAGTTGCGCTTGGCGCTGAGACAATGTTTGATATATAAATACACATGCATATACACACAATAAATTTAACTATACTATTTAAGTTTAGTCTCAAAATAATTCCGTAAATTCAGTATTTAAATCACAATTTTTCATTCCGAAAGTATTTTGCACTTGTCAGTTTTTAAACGAGTTTCTTTTATCTTTTATGATTTTTTTTTTCTCTTCATAATATTCATTTGTCGGGCTGTCAGTAACTGATAATTATTCTTACATTTTCCTGGTAATTATTTTTAAATGAGCTTTAACGGATTTAACAGAACTCGAGATCATGTGGTTTTGCCAATAAAATAAACTGTTGTCTGTGTTATGCGGGTTTTTTTGCGAAGATTACTTGCTGAATGTATGTATATATATAGAGATATGATGCTTTAATGATGCCAAGACTAAGAACGGATTGTTCTCCATATATACCTAATTGTATCCCCTTTATTATTAGCTCCTTTCACTTGTTCAGTTTTCAATGGATGCTGCACCCAAATTGCTGCCACCCAGTTGGTTATGTGCTATCATTAATATGTCCTTTTTCTCCTTCGGAAAACGTAGCTCTCGCCCTGCCATGCGTGCCGTCTCTAGCTCGCGTTCAGCCAAGACCAATTCTCTTCGAAGCACGCCAGGGTTCTCCTGCTCACGTGCTATCCAGTCGAGTGCCATTTGGGCACGCATCTCATCATCCAGACTGCGGTTTGAATAATGTGCGACCACCTCCTGCCTGGAGCACTGGCGCTCGCGCATTGCTTTTAAGGATCCATTCCAATGTAGTAGTTGAAAGACGGTCATTAATTCTTGAAATTCCAACATTGTTCGCCCCTTATTTGCTTCAAGCATGAATCTAAATACAAAACTACGTCTAGACTTATGTTATATATTAAAAAAATTCTCTTCTACTTACCTAAACGCGCCAATTCCCGATTCTGGTAGTTCATTATTTTGTGGTGTTCCCTTGAAAGAAGCGCGTGCATCCTGAACCGCCTTTTCTATAAATTCATCGCTTATGCGACGAGATGGATGTTCATTGAATACCGAGTTCATGAGGGCAATTTTAGCTGAACTTCGTCTGGCTTCCGCTTTAGTTGGGCAATTCTGCAATGTCAATAGAAAACGTTTAGTAATATATACAAATAACATTTTATATAAAAAAGCCCACCTGAAAACTACCAAAGCAACTCCCGCCAGGTAATGTTACAAAGCAAACATAAGGCTGGCTATTCGACGGAATCGATTCGTAAATCACAAGAGCTCCATTTTTCAACTCGACGCCGCGTGTCTGTTTCATTTGCCAAAACTCTTGCAAAGCTTCCACTACATTAACTAGATACGAGAAATGTTCAAAACATCAAATTTAAAGGTATATTAAAAAAAAATTAGCTTGCTTTACCCCTATAATCTCTATCTTCGTATAATCCGGATACCATTGGCAACGCCCAAAAAGGTTCTTCGGGATAGACCATTATACGCTTGCCACTTGTTGAATATTGTACAAGATTGGAGCTATAGAATCTATACTGATTCCAGCTTAAATCATCACAAGGAAAAAAGAAACACTTGGATTAACAAATCCTAAATCAGCAGAGCTATTCATTAAACTTTTACTGAAAGTAAATAATAAAAGTGGAACAGTTAAATGTTAATGTCGAGTTTTAAAATGTGTAGTGCGAGATGACATCTCGTCAGAGTTTGACTAATACGCGTTTAATTGGAACTTTCTTGATTTTCTCCTTGAATGGCACAAGTTATGTTCAGTGTACATACATTTTTATTGAACACTTTACGCATTGGTAAAAGTACATTAACGTGATGGTATTTCATCATCGGCAATTCCAGTTTGCTTCTTAAGTCATCTGTTTTATGCTCTTTTAGAAATCGCCTCACACAGGCGCAACGCGCACACACACACACACACACGGACGCATGTCTGCAGATGTACATATATGTATGTCTGCAGGTTGTATGTGCATATTTTACAAGTGGTACAAGGAGTATACACACTTGAAACCCATAATTAATATATGTATATATGCATACATACATATGTAAGCCGTTAAATGGCTGTGGACAAACGACACGCACGCACACGTACATATATACATACATACTTACAAATGCATGTACACAGTTTTGTCAACTGCGAAATTTTTTTCTTGTTTTTTACAAACACTTGTCACATATTACGCACACTTTTATATGCATATTCATTTTGTCATTTTAGATGTTACATTTATGTCAATCTGTCTTTATATATCTAATAATTATAAAATGGCGTTTACACTTTATACGTCAGCTAACAATCGCTAAAAAAAACGGCTACACACGTATGCACAATATATATATAAATGCGCTGGCAAGTGTTTAACTTGTTGAGTATAAAAAACAAACCTGTAATTTTCATTGCCGACTCCGCGCATGCGCACTGTTCAATTATATCGGCTTGCAATTTTTCACTGTGTGATCGTACATAAGCTTTATCGCAAGTGTTGGATAAGGAACAAACTTAATGGTTTGCTTGTCAGATTTTATCATCCTACTATAAAAAAGGGGGCCACTAATATGGTTGGCAACACCGTCGTGTGACCGCCGTAAATATGTACTTCGATTCTGACTGCACGATATCGATTTGTGCATTATCGATACTAATAGAAGAAATCGAATAAATAATGTAATACAAAAACGTTTTGTTTGCCTTACCACTTTGCCGAAAATAATTTGCTGCTATTCAAAAAGTTTGTCATCGATTAAGTGAGTAATATATCATAAGGATAATTTAGGAAAATACTTAACCAGTTTTTTATACAAACCATTTTTTATATACGTTAATTATGATGCCATCTCTAATTATTTAATTTAATTCCATACCCTACCCGAGCTTCAGGGGGAATCTATCTTCCAGATTGGACAACATTTACTCGAGAATCGAAATAATTGAAGAAAATAATCTTGCAATGATTGGTTTGGGAATATCTCTAGAATCGTTTGGAATCAAATTGTTTTTACATTTATTTGCCAGAGTTATTCCAATAATAACATTTTTAAAAAACTTAAAGTGACTATAACTCACATATCCGTATATGAAGTCTTTTGAATTGAATAATATTAAATTTTCCGGCCTAGTTTTTCCATAACAAATTCTTTTAGCGGCTGATAATACTGATAACGCAAACTAAGCATTTCGGGAGAGTTGCGAACGCGTTCAAATATTTCCAGCTCCGATTCCATAATGAAGACTGCAGTGCCGGCCATTGCGATGACAACGAATATTACGGATGGTATAAAAGCGTGTAACAAATGGAATTTACGCAAACTCTTGCCACTATTGGAATTTGAGTGTGTGCGCGAAAATTTGCCTATATGTTTCCCACTGGAGATGCCGACGGAAGAGCTTGAATTTAAGGCGGGATTGGGCAGTGCATAGTACTGCTTGGATGAATAATAAAGGTGCTGCTTGGAGTCGTTCTGATTGCCACGCGGTTTGCCAGCCACATCATAGCCGCTGGCCGTGAGTCCGCTTTCCGTTGAGGAATGCTCGATGGAGTCACGGAATGCATAGCCGGATAGTTCTGTTCCCATATGATTTAGTCTATCTATATTTGAGGAGCGCAGACGCGCCTCCTCGCAAACGGGCTCTAGGATGGGCATTTGCAGGCTGCCGTTGACGCCAACGTCCTGGCCATGGCCGCCATAGATGAGAATACTCGGTGCCATAGAACAGCCCAACGGCTCGGACATTGTTGAACGCGGTAAGCTGCTGTAGCCTGGCAAATCATATCGAATTTGCAATTAATATAGTTTAAATATAGTTATAAATGTTTTAATATTGCTCACGTATTTGTGCCAAGTCGCCCTGTGGACTGGAGGGCGTGGCTGGAACACTGCTTGCCTTGCGTTTGCTTGAAGTCGAATTGGTCATTTTTTGCTCGCGTAATGCGTTAATGCTTTCAGTCAAAATCTCGCGTTCAGTTCTACCGGTATAACGGAACTTTGTGCCCCAGGAGAAGAAGCCACCGCCAGAGACAACAGCCGCGTGCTGGCTATTTGGTAAACTGTGGAAAACGAATGCAGATAAATAAAAGATCGAGGATATATCTAAATATACTTTACGTGAAGAACAGCATTTGCTCGATCGCACACCTCCACAGATAACGGCAAGCGGGTCCCGAGGGGCACTTAAAGCCAATTGTGTGCTTTTTCTGCAAATAACATTTTAGAGAAGATCCTTGCTGCAATTTATACGCAACTACTTACGGGCTCTCGGCTGGCATCCGTGAAGCTCAAATGTGCAATAAACATTTTGCCCTCAAAGTTAATCTTGTGCACTTCATTCCATCGAAAGTGCTGGGAACGCTTGCCGGCTACGTAGGTGCTGATGCCAGCATGATTGATACCAACGTACAGCAGAGAGCCGCGATGATCCTTGACGGGATGGGGATCAATGCCGTAAGTCTCTAGACCTCGGGCAATGCCCATAAACTCATCCATCGCCACCGAGGGATCCTGACCAGGCTTTCGCTTTTTATGCAGATCAATTATCTTCTTTTCCAGGTTCTCGGTTTGGCGCAGAGCCAAATCCAGCGATGACACATAGTCGCCAATGTGCATCATTTCGTCATAGTCCCCAAGCTCCTCTAAAAAATATAGCATATTTATTAGCAATAGAAAGAGAACTGCCCATTTACATATAAAGTGAAGCCTTACCTTGCACAATTAATGCCCCAAGAGCGGCTGCCTCGCCCAAGGAACAGTATAGCCGGCCGTGACGAAGATCTCTCTTCATCTGCTGGAAGAGCATGATACGGCCATTGCCAGTAAGGCGAAATGGATCCGCTGGATAGAATTTCACCCGTAATGAAAACAGAACAGGATCTATATCTGGGAGGAAAAAGTTGATTTTCTGTTTGGTTTGCCAAATGTAATTTCCAAAGTGCTTAAATATTTACCTTTACATTGCTTCAATATGGATTTGGCCAAGTCAAGCCAGTGCTATAAAGTAAAAAACAAACATTTAACTTAGGTTGTCTTTTAAAATCGTAATAGTGTTATATTTACCCGTTGTTTTCCTGTGTCTACATAACGTAAGCCAAAATAGTCCTTTTCCTTAATATCTAATTGCCTACATATATGGTCGACTAGATAAATGCCTTTATGGAATGGCTAGAATAAGAAATATTTTGATTAAATTTATAAAAAGGCCATTAAGTTTTTTGGGGCTCGAAATGGGTTTGGCGTTTGTTATAGCTATAAGAAAGTTACGCCCTTACGAACTCCACCTTATTCTCATATCCACAAACACGCACACAAACACACACACGTACACACACACACATGCAATATTTACAACAAACATCGGTGCGGCAAGACTTGTTTTTTTTTTCCTATGTGAAATGCCGAATATTCAGCTGAATATCACATGAGCAGGTATTTATGTTCATTTAAAACCCACCTGAAATTCACACTCTAAGACGTCAGAATCGTCAAGTAGCCGAACAGTGCACTTATACACAATATTACATTCGTTTTTACTTTTAAACATTTTATTTTTGGTTCAAATTTTATCGACTTTTGTCAATGTTAAAAAAGAAACGCTAAGGACCAACAATTGTGTATAAAAAATATTTTATATTAGTTTTATGGACGTGCTTATTTTCATTGTTTTAAAAGTTGTGCATGAAAAATATTTAATTCTGAACGCTTTTTAAACTTTGTTTGCCGACAATGTCAGTGTCCTTTATCGCCCTTCGCTTTTTCCTGTTAAGGGTGTTTTGGGTGGTTTTTTTCGCTTGAGAAAATAAACAAGATAAAAGCGCAAAAAATGGACAAATGCGTGATACTTTTGATTTGGCGTAGGAGTATATGGGATTTGTGTAAATGGTTATAAATAAAAACATATAAATGTTGCTATAATAATATGAGATTACCCTTTAATGTCAAATAAGTCTTGAAATTCTGAGCATTTTGTCATTTCAACTAAAACAACGGTTAATTCGAGTAATCGATATTATATTATCGTGAAACTTATCGGCATCTATTTGAAATTAAAGTTGCAGGAACTAGTTCGCTTCGTGAGAATAGTTCGATTAAATATTTCCCACGCAACTGAACAGCTGTGTGTAAAAGAAAATAGTAATAATAAATATATTTATTTTATGTGCTATATTTTTAGCGGGTGCTTTCACGATGTTTCAACCCGAAGATCACGGTCTAGAGGCCGACTTTCGACTAACCATGTTTTCCACCCTGCGAGGATGAGGTTGCAAAGTCCCCGAAGAGAAGCTTAAACAATATCTCAGGGGAACAGAAATAGTTAGCAATGCGCCTCAACACGATGACGACTATATTGGTAAGCTTACTATTCATTAAAATAAATAAAAAAAAATATATACCGCTTACTGAAAATAGCTAGATAACCATTTTATATTTATCTGATGCTTATCAAAATTTTCTTGGGATTAAAAAATATAAACATGCAAACAAGAGATTAGTATAAAGATGACCTTTGCAGTCCAAATACACCTAGAGCTCGGCACATAAATATTCTTAAATATTAAAATAAAATCTTTTTTCAATATAGGATCTGGAATGGATTGCGCGGTTATACCCTTAGCACGGCACAAGGAATATTCGCTAGTACAGACCGTTGATTTCTTTTATCCTCTGGTTGACGACCCCGAAGCAATGGGTCGTATTGCTTTGGCCAATGTATTAAGTGACATATACGCTGTCGGAATAACGGACATTGACAAAATCGAAATGCTCATTAGTGCACCCTCAAACCTGACAGAGAAGCAGCGAGATATTGTGGTTCCATTAATAATGAAAGGCTTCCAAAGGGCATCAAGTGGAAGCGGATGTTATGGCAATGTTACGGTCAAAAATGTTATCATTAATCCCTGGTGCATTGTAGGAGGCATAGCTACATCCCTCTGTCGAAAACAAGACATCATATTGTAAGCTGTAATTTTTCAAGAGTATGTAATACACATTTAACGGATTCTTAAATATTTCCAGACCTTCAAATGGCAAGGCTGGAGATGTATTGGTGCTAACAAAACCGCTTGGAACACAGCTGGCAACAGCTGCACACATTTGGCAGAAGGAGAAAAATGATAAATATGAAACGCTGCTAGCTGCTTTTACGGACGACGATATATTGGAAACATTTCAAATAGCAATAAAATCAATGACTTATCTTAACCGAAATGGTATGGTGCACATAATTTATTGTGATAAAATTATTTAATTGTATTAATTTTTTAGCCGCACTTCTTATGCACAAATACGAGGCGCATGCTGCAACTGATGTCACTGGCTTTGGTTTGCTGGGCCATGCCAAGAACCTTGTTGAATTTCAGAAGCAGTCGCTTTTGTTTAAAATTAACAAATTGCCCATCATTAAAAGTGTTCTTAAATTTGGCGAATTAGTCGGACAAAGCACAAAGTTAACTGCAGGTAAATCCGTTGAGACATCTGGCGGACTTCTCATTTGCCTGACAACAAATGCAGCTGAACAGTTTTGCGAGGAGTTTGAGAAACTTACGAATGGAGCACAGAAGGCTTTTGTTATTGGTGAAGTTGAGGAAGCCGATAAATCTGCAGTAGCATTGGCAGAAAATGTTGAGTATATCGAGGTTTCTTTTTAAAAAATGTTAATTTAGTTTTAATGAAGCGAACTGACTATTCAACTGATGATTATTATTTCATAAAGGCTTCTGGCTGGGAAATATTATGAAATGTTTTATGTGTAAATATAAAATGTTTGATATTCAGTTTGATTCCTTAAAACTATGAATTAACGAAAGTTTATTTATATCTGTACTACTATGTTGCAATAAAGTTTGCGGTGCCGCGCTACCATTTTTAAAATCGCGATTGCTCACGTTTACCAGAGTTAATGTTAGAAAACAGGTCTGTTAGTATTTAGTTTCGATGACCATGGCTATCGAATATATATCGAGATGGCCGATAGCACATAATTCTATCGCACACGATAGAATTGTCTCATATCGATATTATCATTTTACTTATGCATTTTCCAGTTCCAACACGCAAATTTTTGTGCCGGAAAAAAAAAATTGAGTAGACCTTTTTTTTGTCTAAGACAAAAAGAATTTGTGAGGCGGTCACAAAAATTTATAATCGGCTACCGTGTACATAATTTCATATATATTTATATACATACCGTTGAACCAAATATATAGATCATGGCGTCGCATCAATATCATCAAATCGCAAATTTGCTGGAAAAAGTATGTATAGAATGGGCACAAAATTGTAAGGTAAGGTAGAATTATAAATTTAATTATTTATTTTTATTTAGATGACATCCACGGACAAGGACTTTCGATTCATGGCCACAAATGATTTAATGACTGAACTGCAAAAGGACAGCATTATACTGGACGATGAGTCTGAGAAAAAGGTGGTTCGCATGGTCCTTAAATTACTTGAGGACAAAAACGGTGAAGTGCAGAATTTGGCTGTGAAGTGCTTGGGCCCGTTAGTCAATAAAGTGAAGGAGAATCAAGTGGAGACAATTGTGGACTCGCTATGTGGCAACATGATGTCGAATGTCGAGCAGCTGCGTGACATCTCAAGCATCGGCCTAAAGACCGTAATTGCCGAGCTGCCCCAATCTTCCAACTCGTTGGCGCCCAATGTCTGCCAGCGTATAACTGGCAAACTGAGCATTGCCATTGAAAAGGTGCAAGCTAAACAACCCAACACTTAAAGCAAGCGATCTAAAGTGATATGTAATTAATACTTGTAGGAGGACGTTTCAGTTAAATTGGAATCCCTGGACATACTGTCGGATCTGCTTTCGCGCTTTGGCGAGTTTCTGGTGCCGTTTCATAGCACCATATTGAAGGCTCTGATGCCGCAGTTGGCATCGCCTCGCCAGGCTGTACGCAAGCGTACGATTGTAGCGCTCTCTGTACTTCTGATACAAGCGAATAGCAATGCCTACAATGGCGTCGTTGACCACCTACTCGAGGGACTGGAAAACCCGCAAAATCCTGGTGCTGTGCGTACCTATATTCAATGCTTAGCGTCTATCTGGTACTTGATTTATGCATAGATTTTAGCGCAATGTCTTCAATATTTTCATTTTCTGTTTAACTAGTCGTCAAGCTGGACATCGCCTCTGCAATCACATTGATCGCTCAATGCTGCTGCTCAAACAATATAGCCAGCGCGATGATGATGAGCTGCGTGAATTCTGCCTGCAGGCCTGTGAGGCATTTGTGTTGCGTTGCCCAGACGCTATCCATCCACACATTCCTATGGTATGTAAGGCTATAACACACTACTCAAATTGATGGCTACCAAGTTGTTTAAATTGTCTGTTAATCTTAAACTTCTATCCTTAACCAACAAATGCTATTGTAATTAGATACTCGAACTATGCCTCAAGTACGTAACTTATGATCCAAACTACAATTATGAGGCCGATGATGGCGATACAGGCGTCGCCATGGACACCGAGGAGGATGAATATGTGGACAGCGAAGAGTATAGTGACGATGACGATATGAGCTGGAAAGTTCGACGTGCTGCTGCCAAATGCCTGGAGGTATTAATTGCCACTCGTCAGGAATTAATTGAAGAATTCTATCGTACGCTGAGTCCAGCATTGATAGCACGCTTTAAGGAGCGCGAGGAGAATGTTAAATCGGACATTTTCCATGCATATGTTGCACTGCTGAAGAACACACGTCCGGCAGATGATATTGCACATGATCCCGATTCCATGGATCAAATATCTGGACCAACCCTTTTGCTAATCGAACAGCTGCCGCAGATTATTAAAGCTATACAGCCGCTGATGCGTGAAAAATCGATGAAGACGCGCCAGGATTGTTTCCTTTTGCTACGCGAACTTTTGAATTCTCTACCCGGCGCCCTGGGCCCACATTTGGAAAGCATTGTGCCCGGCATAAGCTATTCGCTGAACGACAAGAGTTCGACGAGCAACATGAAAATTGAGTCACTCGGGTTTCTTTGCTCATTGCTTCAGGGTCATCAGCCACATGTTTTCCACCCGCATATACCGCTTTTGGTGCCGCTGGTGGTGACATCGGTGTTTGATCCGTTTTACAAGATTGCCACCGAGGCATTGTTGGTGCTGCAGCAACTCGTGAAGGTGGTGCGTCCGTTGGGCGTTAATGCTGTCAAATCAGATTTCGATGTGAAGCCCTTTGTCGGGCAGGTTTATGCGTGCACCTTGCAGAAACTAAAGGTCACCGATGTCGATCAGGAGGTGAAAGAACGCGCCATTGCCTGCATGGGTCAAATCATTGCCAATATGGGTGATCTGCTCAAGAGCGAACTGGACGTTTGTCTGCCCATCTTTATGGAACGCTTGAAAAACGAAGTCACGCGCCTGAGTAGCGTTAAAGCACTGACCATGATTGCAGCATCCCCTTTACGCATCGACCTTTCGCCCATATTGCATGACGTTCTGCCCACTCTGGGCACATTCTTGCGGAAAAATCATCGAGCTCTGAAGCTGCATTCTTTGGATCTCATCAACAAGATTGTCATCAACTATTCCTCGAACTTTGAGCCGAGTGTTTTGCAGTCGGCTATTATCGAAATACCGGGACTTATTTCTGACTCCGATCTTCATGTGGCTCAATACTCGCTGACCTTACTAAGTACAACAGCTCGTCGTCAGCCCCAGGCATTGGTTGGCATACATGAGAAGTTTTTGCCATCTGTGTTAATTTTGGTTCGGTCGCCGTTGTTACAGGTGGGCCCAAAATGAAGTTCGATTTTAATTGGTATTTAGATAACAGTGATTTCTCTTACAGGGTACTGCTTTGCAATGCACCTTGGACCTATTTCAGGCGCTGGTACAGGCGCAACTGCCTGGTTTGACCTACGACTCTCTGG